GTTGTGAGCCGCATCGCATGGATGATCGAGCAGATGCCTACTTAATTGTCACCTCAACTTCGGCCTGTCTGTCAGTTCTCATCAACTCTCATTTATTCCTTAGGTGGGCGTTCCCACCTCAACCAACCCAAATCCAGCAGCCTCTTGTGCTCCTGAAGATGTGTAACTTGAGCTGAGACCCAAAAAATGGAGTCGTTTGGATCGTCAATTCAAGTAGCCAACTCGTAAGCAACAACTCTATTGACGTCCCAATTAACATCAATCGGATTATGACATGATAATTCTAGCCGAATATCATCAATTATAGAACCAACTCTGCCAATGTTAAACGTGCGTTTGGATCATTGCTAGTGGTCTAGAAATTGGTCGAAATGGGGTGCAATCATTGCGGATCACGTTGAGTTACTGTCCAATTTTTAACCGATTGGGTAATTTTGATATAACATTCGGTTTAAAATTCGAATTTATAACTTATACAGCTAAATTTGTGTAGAAATTACGATTATACAAAAATTATATGAATTCACATCGGATGTTGTTGGGTTTGAACTACCAATTGTGAGGTGCCAAATCCATTGTTCCATTAGCAGTTTCGGTTAATTTCAACTCCATATATAAGAAATGAACATGCCATGCCAATCATGAAGTTTTTTTTTTTTTTTTTTTGTCAGCAACCATACATTTGTATAACCTACTCTATTCTAATTTAAGGGGAGGGGGAGCCTAAGGAGACTGTTGTAGGGGCTAGTGGATATACAGACCCAACTAGATCAAGGGAGTGTTATGACACAACTCTTAGATTTTTTTCGCTGCTGATGAGATTTGAACCCTCACTAACAGTTCAAAGAGGAACTTAAGTCTCTCCTGGTGCCAACTGAATTGGCCCAATCAGGAGTTCTCTCTTAACATTTTCACTTTGACGAAACTCTCTACCGATTGCTGCTGTCAAAATCGACAGCTCACGATGGGCAATCCGCAGCACGGCACGATCCCTTCACTGTGACTCACAAGTATCAATTCCCCTGCAGTGTACAACTAGCCACTGTTGGAGTATATATCTAAAAATTTACGTATTTAAAAATTTTTTTTTTTATAATTTCTACGATAAAATACAGTAAAATTTTAGACAAATATCCAAAAAATTTACTTACCAATAGTTTCTAATGGAAACAACCAATTAAGGAAGGAAACCAAACTCTCAGTTGAAACTTACGTATGACCGGTAGGTACACTTCCATATCCCGGTTGAAGCTCGTGCTACAACTTACAAAGACGAGCGCCTCCGATCAAAGCATTGTTAGATTATGATAATTTTGGCATAGATTGACTGATCGCTTGCTTATAATCTACCAAAAAGAATCTAAAATTGATAAAGAATCCGAGGTTTCGTCTAAAAATCAATTAGCTGTGAGCTGTGGAAAATATACAAAATCTCATTAATTTGGCTAGAATTGGATGGCTCAACAAAAGTCAATGATAATAATGCCATTTAATGCTTTCTACATCCAATTCGATTGATCGATTAGAAAATGAGCAAGAACACAAAACTTGTACAACTGCATTGCTTGTGACTTAGGTAACTTCTTCTAGCACGAATATGATCATTCACAGAAGAAGGTGGTGGGAGCAGCAAATGGTGACCAAGAGAGGGTGAGGATCAAGGCAGAAGCAAGCATCCGGGGGCTGGAGCGTGTCAATTAGCAGGAGAAGAAGCAGATCAAACTCGAGGATGTCACGCTTAATTAAATGGTTAGGTCAAGAAATCGTCCCATCGACAATCATTAACCAAACAACATCACCATATACGTGCGTACCCAAACACCATTAAGGTTGGGTCCGAGAAAATGATTAGGAGGAGGAGGAGGAGGATCGCTCTTTTACCAAACTTTGTGGGCGTCCTTGGGACACGGCGGATACCGTAATAGCCACGCTCCGGCGTACGTGGGCTTTTGTGCTTGAGCCGCGAGTCCTTTTCTCTGCGGCCAAAGATTCCTTCTCTGCTCCGCTCATTGCGACGCCCTTTTCTTCTGACTCATCTTGCCCTATCATTATTGGCACCATACAAACGATTCCCTGCATCTGGAGGGAACTTGTATCCGCGGTCACGAGAGTCCCTCAGCAGCTCAGGAAACGTGGTACGGAGCTAGTAAATTCAGCATTACAAGAGTACGTAATGGGCACGGAAATGACCACTCAATTTGCATGCAATTGGATAATAGTAAGTAGTTGCTATAGCAAAGTTCTTTATTATTATTAGATAAATTTTCAGGTGAATGTCTGTTGTTTTTTATGTATGATTATTCAATCGTAACACTGCAGACTCTCAAGAAATACAAATGTTCCGTGCATCTTTAATAATAACCTCACGTGATTTGCATGTGATTGTATTAATCCACAATATGAAACTTTTGAAATACTAAATTTCTTTATAAAATTTTAATTGTTGGCCTTAGAATAGAATAATTCTTACATTTCTGAGTTCTTTTAATCAATTTTTTTTGTAAAAATGTTTCTCAAATTTGAACTCTTATATGGGTATGTTTTCTGAAATTTTTTTGACTCTTCTAGATGAATCATGACCCAAACACTTCTAAATAAATCATTGTTAGGATGTTAATGATCCACCACATTTTATTATTTCTAGCTAGCTATTTACTCTTTCTTTTTTAAACTTTATAATTCTTATTTAATTTAATTTATTTTATTACTCTCATTTATTTATTTTTTGTTTGAATGCATATATAAATATCTAATTTATTCTTCCATTTTTTTTCCCTCAAAGGAAAAAGAACTGTGGCAGTGACATATAAGTGTTTATGGGTGAAGTATATGAACAATTTTCGTTGTTTGCTTGGATACGACTAAGGTGAAGCATAACTTTAATTAAAGCTAAATTATTTTTACGTCTTTTTGTCACATCAATTTAACATTTAGTTTCTTCTAATGAATTTGAATCACATCAATTGAGTTGTAATGTTCATTAAACTTGGACTATTTGCTCTTTATTTGAGCACTACGATTGTTGATAAGGGGGTAATAGTTCATGATTTTTTTTATAAAGATTTTCCAAGTCAATAAAGGATTTTTTTGCATGTTTTTGTTTTGTCCTAACAGCTTGTTTGTCTTGACTGGCTATTTAACATTTTGTCATTGTTTTGGAAAACTGTTATTTGCACTCCTGCTATCCTTTTTATTATATATTTTTCATTTATTATATTATATGATATAACAAATGGTCGAAGTGCAAACAATAATATTTTCCTTGCTTTGAGTAAGAAATTTTAAGCACAAGAAATAATTGGAGATGGAGTGGAAACGTTAGTCAATGGTAATTCACCTTACTATTCTCTATTTTATCCTACACTAAGGGGGAGGGGGCGGACCTAAGGAGGTCCAGGAATAACTCGGAGGGGACTGAACCACCATCGGATCAGACGGGTGCACAGCACATCCGCATGAATTTTTTTAGAAACAAACCACTTAAATGTGACATTTTTTGGTAGGAGACAAGGTTCATCCCACTCCACCAGCCCAAAGGCTGGGGCTGGTGGTTAACCCTACCATTCTCTAGATCATTCACACTTTTATACTTCTACGGCGAGTATAGGTAGATATAAACAGACATAGATAGATAGACATTCATGCAGTCACACAGCACATTAACTAGCGACCAAATTATGATATAACCAACCATCAGATAGAACGGAGGTTTGAAGGGTTATTTTCACCTGTGTAGCTATCTTATCTCAGGACAATTATGAGGGCAAATTTGCACAAAAGAAAAAAGACATATTGAGCAAAAGAATAAAGGAGACAAGATATGAAAAGGAGTAGACAAGATATGAAAGGAAAGACAACCAGAACAAAAGACGCATTCTAAGATAAGGAAAACATGTACTGTATTGACTATGTGCACTTCATCTTCACTTTAATTGTTCTTTCGAAAACGGAAAAAATATTTGTTTGATCAACTATTTACTTTAGAAAGGGCAAAAATTATTGTTCTTTCGAAAAACGGGAAAAAAATACCTGCTAGTTCAACTATTCACTTTAGAAAAGGCAACAATCGAAAGGAAGCCTAAGGTACCGTCGAAAGGCAAAATAAGATCGTACCTAAAATAGACAAGAAAGAGAGGGGGACACGTGTGTTCCGCACGTTTGGCCTTTTGCGAAGGAAACATGCGCCAATGATTCAATCATGTCATCAAGGACCTTACGCGTAAAGTTCAAAAAATTAGTACTCCTCCCGTGCCCTTCATTTAGTCATGTCCCTTTATTTAGCCATGTTTGAAGAATTCAACTTTTAAAAAATAATGATTTGATTATGATATTTGTGTTTTTCTTTTCAATTTCATATTTTATAAATTCAAATTTTGAATTTGAAGGGAACACACATGTGATTAGAAAGAAAGATTATATTGAAAAGATAGACTAAAAGGTAATTTAACTTTTCTAACATGATAATTATTTTGTAACGTCCAAAAATAAAAAATACGACACTTTCAACGAAACAGATGGAGTAATTTCTTTTCTCCACTAAAGAAAAGACAAAAAAATCAAAATTTTCAGAAAAGGTAAAGGCGATACGAGTTTGTTTGGATATAAAAAATTTTCACATAATATTTCACTTGCATCATAAACATATTTTTTAATTCATTTTTTTAAAAAATATTTTCAATCATTTTTTATCTCATATATATTATATCATAAAAAATATTACAGTAATTATTTCAAATAGCTCGATCCAAATAAACTTATCCCAACTATCATTTTATGCATCAAATATGTTAATAGATAATATGTTTCACCATTCAATTTTTTTTTTAAAGAAATTCGAATCAAACTAATGATAAGATCTTGAACCACTTTATTCATCATTATCAATTGATTTTGAGATGGAACCTCAAATTATTTTATCAAAACGCTACCTGTCAAGTGGAAGCTGAGGCTCTGTTGAATCTATTTCACTTTGAAGTAACACTTTTCTAGAAAACGTGTATTAATACTACAAGAAAGGAAACTCGTTGACTAAAACGAATAGTTGTAGTATGTAGTTTGTGATAAAGTTTGGAGAGTGTGGTGCTACGTGTTGAAAGCTTAATGATGTGGGAGGAGAACTAAGTCCTCCAAATGTCCGGTTACTAGTCGGCCAGAGGTGTTTATGGAAGACATGACCTTTTCACATGTAGTGGAGTGATATTAATATATTTCCCTGTGTAAAAAGAAAGGCGCCGGCGGTGAGTCGGGGATTCGGGCAGGGTTGGGGGGAAGCGGAGAGTAGTGGTCGTTGGTTGGACTCTGGTGGGCTGTGTGCGCCTCTATCTGCGGTCCTCAATCAAATACTGCTGTAACAGTTGGCTGGTAGTATGACGCAGGAGGCGGTACGAGTTAGAGTGAGGGACAGCAACAATGCTACTGAGGAAGGGGATCAAGAATTCAAGAATACGAATTTTTTGTCTATCCTAGCGACTGAGGATCGAGACTTTCTGCTATCTGCAACTGGATCTCAGGTTTCTTCACTCACTCTCTCTCTCTCTCTCGCCTTCTACCTTCATTTACTGAAATTAACAGTACCGACGACAGTTCAATTTCAGGTTCTTGAATATTTTTTTTTGTTTTGTTGTGAGCTAGAGTTAATCCAAGTTGGAATCCTAACTTAGAGATTGAAACTGCTTCTAGTAATGACTTCAAAAAATGAACTTGCATCTAGTTTATTGTCTCTCTTTTGCACCATCTCTGGAACGAATTAATATCCTCAGGGTACTACTCAAAATGGGATAGCTACTTATAATAATGATTTTTTTTTTTTTTTTTTTTTGCCTTTCTTCGTTGCTTTGATTTTGAAGTTAAACAAAATTTGAAGACCACTCCGGCATCTAGTTTATTGTCTCTCCGGCAGCCTTGAACTCAGCAGCTGTGATGGTGATCCTCCCTGCTCCCCCTCCAAATTCCCAAATACAACATCGATATCTTTTGTGCGTTCAGTTTGGACATCAGACTCCAGCATGTGTTTTCTCTGATTTTTAAACATTTCCCATGTTGATCAAACCATTATGAACACAGGCTTGAATTTGTTTTCTATATATATATATATATATATATATGTATGTGTGTGTGTGTGTGTGTGTGTGTGTGTGTTTTTGTATTGACTGGCCCTGGATTTTCTTTTCCTTCTGCCTTGTTTTTTAGATTTGCTCTACGCTACTGTATTTTGCTCTATCACTCGGTTGGCTTCCTGTTTTAGCTGCCTGTAAGCTATGAAATCATTTTAAGGGGCATATCACAATCACATGGTGCTTATTGAGTACTTTTTCCAATCTAACTTTCGCATCTTTTGGTCACTTAACTATTTTCTTAACTAAAACTGTCACTCAACTAATAAAATTATAAAATCGTAGCTGCTTTTTAATCGTTTCATCCAAATTTGGTATCAAGGTAGATGGAGAGACGGTCATATGTCATGTGTTCTTTTTCAGGGGCAAACCCGTCATTTAAATTTGAAAAAAAAAAAGAAAAAAGAAAAACCTTCTTCTTTGTCGCAGATTACACCACAACCCCCTAGCGACCCAAGTCAAGAAAACGCCTGGCTCGGTATGATGGTCATCGATAAACAAACTCAACAAAGCATTCGGATTTTAGCAGTTTTTAGGCATGCTTTGCTCCTCCTCCCCTCAAACCCATCTGCAATGGCTTCTCTTCTGACAGCTATACCACCACTCAATAAGCATCCACGTCCCACGTCCCTGTCACCCCTCGCGGCTTCAGTACCAACTGAAGATGATTAGGGATGCCAAGCAGAACCCCTGCTAGCCTTTAACCTTCTGAATCATGGCCATTCTTCACTGATGAGACCAAATTTGATTAGTGTTAGAATTTGGGGTTTGGACAAAAGAGGAATCTTTTTCCATGGATTTGGGGTTTTGGTTCATAGATTGATGATTGAAATTTATAATGATGATGCAGTAGGATGTGTAGTAGAGAATAGAGATGGTAGACAGTGGATGTCTGAGTAGCCAGAAAGTCCTTTTTGTGAGAATTAGACTCAGTTTAGGACTTTGCATGTTATCATTTACATTTCTGGACAGTGCATGTTATCTTTTTTTTCTTTTCAATATTTAATTATGATTTTACTTCCTAGGCTCTTCAAAGCGAATGAATATGAAAGAAAAACTGACTCTCATAATAACCTCAGAACTATATGAGATTTATCTCACTAATAGGTTCACCAAGTGAACTTAAAACTGGAGTGGATTGATGCAATTAACTGGATTACCTACTAAGCAATGGCTTTGTGATATGTTTCATGTAGTACGTGTTGATGCAGGTTAAAATTTCTGAACTTGAAGGCAAAATTGTTGGTATTTACTTTTCAGCTAATTGGTATCCACCATGTAAGAACTTTACGCCTCTTTTGGTGAATGCTTTTGAGGAATTTAAGAGTCAGACTCCCGGTTTTGAGGTAGTTTTTGTGTCATGTGATGAAGACTTGGATGCCTTCAATAACTATCGGGCGTGCATGCCTTGGCTTGCAATCCCATTTTCTGATTTGAATACGAAGAAAAATTTGAATAGCAGGTTTGATGTAGAAGGTATTCCTTCCCTAATTATTCTACAACCTGACAATTACAAAGTCGATGAAGCAATTCATGATGGAGTTGAACTCCTGTACCGCTATGGGAAGCAGGCCTTTCCATTTACTAAAGAGAGGTTGCAGGAACTACAGGAGAGAGAGAGGGAGAAGCATGAAAATCAGACGTTAATGAATCTGTTAACGAGCCAAAATCGAGATTTTCTATTGGGTCACTCAACATCCAAACTGGTAAGTCCTGGATTATACTTTAAGCAGATAATTAAGGATTTGATTTCGTGTTACTCGGGCTAGTCAGTTTGGTTGTTTGGAAAAAAGTATGCTTCAATATTTGAACTCATGAGTCAGGGACTGAGAATTCTGATCCGGTGGTGGTTCAGTTCCCACTGGTCCCTTAGACCCAGTTGGGTCTCCCCTTAGATTAGGATAGTGTAGGATACTATAAATAAAAAGTGATGATTGACAAAAAAATAAAAATTGAAGGTGGCAAGTGTATAGTACTTTTTCTATCTAGAAACTAAAGCCTATGGACTTGACATGTAATGCAGGTCCCAGTTGCATCCTTGAAGGGTAAGACAGTTGGACTTTATTTCTCAGCGCAATGGTGTTTTCCGGGGGTGAAGTTCACTTCTAGGTTGATATCTATCTACCAAAAAATCAAAGAAGTGCTGCTGGGAAAAGGTGGTGAAGACTTCGAAATAGTTTTTGTGTCAACTGACCATGATGAATTATCTTTTAACTTATTTTTTGGGACCATGCCATGGCTAGCATTGCCTTTTAATGATCCGACCATCAAGAACCTTACTAAACATTTCGATGTTCAATGGATCCCTAGCTTGGTAATTCTAGGCCCTGATGGAAAAACAGTGACCAAGAAGGGAAGGAATCTGGTAAACCTGTACCAAGAAAATGCTTACCCGTTCACTGAAGCTCGAACGGCATTGCTGGAGAAGCAAATGGATGAAGAAGCTAAAAGCCTGCCCAAATCCAAGTACCATGTGGGACATCGCCATGAGCTCACGCTAGTGTCTGAAGGCAGCGGAGGAGGACCTTACATTTGCTGTGACTGTGATGAGCAAGGACTTGGATGGGCGTATCAGTGCATGGAGTGTGGCTATGAGGTGCATCCTAAGTGTACGAAGTCGGCGGAGAGACCTCCTGGGAGCGATAGACAACGTTCTTGAATGATTGACCATAATGGGCTAGTTCTGTTGGGTCCTATCGAATCTATATCATTGCTGAGTACTGCGTATGGGCAAGAAAAATGGTTCATTTTCATCTGATGTAACAAAGGAATGCATTTATAGGTTGTGGATTGAGTGAGCTATAGTTTAAAAGTAAAATCCTGTTCGCCAAAAAAAGGTTTTTTAGGGGAAAATTCGCCTACCATGTGTGTGGCTTTTACGTCCGTTATTGTATATAAGCAAATTCTAAAAAGAAAACCATAATGGTTATGACCCATGAATGTATTCTACGACCCATAACATTATGTTCTTGTACATTTTCACCCATTCTGTCCCCATGATGGCAAATTCTAATTGTTGAATCAGGTACAAATGTTACATTAGTGTATCTTCAAAAGAATGTAGCGGTTAGAGATGCAAGTAGTGTTACTCAATGTTAATCAACATAACTGAAAAACAGAAATTTGAACAGAGTCCGAAGATTTGCCGCCAAATCTGGTTGCGAATGATGGTATTGGACTAGGCCGTGTTATAGAAGCTCTGGACGAGCAAGAAGAAGATGAGCAACAAATTAATGACGAGGAATGTTCAAGCTTTGCACCTGTTTAACAACTTCAACCGCAAGATTGCTTACCTGAGCTGTCTCAACTCGGCCACAGGAACCCTCTCCGAAGCAAAACAAGCCCACGCAGGCGCCCTCAAAGCAGGCCTCTCTACCCAACCCCATGTCGCCACCAAGCTACTCGCCTTGTACGCCAGCCACCAATGCTTCACCGAAGCAGATATCCTTCTGTACTCACATCCTCAACCGGATCTCTTTTCTTTCACAACCCTCATTAATGCTTCTTCCAAATTTAAAAATTTCCATCGCACGCTTACTTTGCTTGTTAAGATGCTTTCGGGACGTCTTTTTCCCGATACTCATATCCTACCCAGCACTATCAAGGCCTGCGCTGGATTATCAGCCCTTAAATTGGGTCATCAACTTCATGGCTTTGGTTTAGCTACTGGGCTTGCATCAGATTCTCTTGTTGAATCATCTTTGGTTCATATGTACATTAAGTGTAGTGCACTGAAGTATGCACATAACGTGTTCAATAGAATGGCTGAGCCAGATGTGATATGCGGGAGTGCATTAGCGTCTGGGTATGCGAAGAAAGGAGATGTCAGTAATGCCACTATGGTGTTTGACGAGATGGGAAAATTGGGAATTGAGCCAAATTTGGTATCCTGGAATGGTATGATTGCTGGGTTTAATCAGAGTGGGCATTTCCTGGAGGCGGTATTGATGTTTCAGAGGATGCATTCAGACGGTATTGAGTGTGATGGAGTTAGTGTTTCTAGTGTTCTTGCTGCAGTTGGTGACTTGGAGGATGTCATCATCGGAGTTCAGGTTCATGGTTATGCAATCAGACTTGGACTTAGATCAGATAAGTATGTTGTCAGTTCACTTGTAGATATGTATGGGAAATGTGGATGTGCTCTGGAGACGTTGAGAGTTTTTGAAGAAATGGAAAAAAAGGATGTGGGTGCTTGCAATGCGTTGATTTCTAGCCTTTCTCGAAATAATATGGTAGACGATGCATTAAAGACTTTCAGAAAATATAAGGGTCAAGGGATGGAATTGAATGTGGTTTCCTGGACCTCCATGATTGCTTGTTGCTCGCAGCATGGCAAACATCCTGTGGCTTTAGAACTTTTCAGAGAAATGCAGATTGCCGGTGTGAAACCAAATTCTGTAACAATCCCTTCCTTGCTTCCAGCTTGTGCCAGTTTTGCTGCATTAGCACATGGGAAAGCAGCACATTGTTTCTCACTTAAGAGGGGTTTTACTGATGATGTTTATGTGTGCAGTGCTCTCATTGACATGTATTCTAGTTGTGGTAGGATCAAAGCAGCTAGACAGTGTTTTGACAGGATGCCTAGGCGTAATTTGGTTTGTTGGAATGCAATGCTTGGTGGTTATGCAATGCATGGGATGATAAAGGAAGCTATCAATATCTTTCAGTTGATGCAGAGTAGTCGACAACTACCAGATCTTGTGAGTTTTACGAGTCTTCTCTCTGTATGTAGCCAATGTGGTCTTGTGGAAGTAGGGCAGAGTTACTTTAATAGCATGTCTAAAGATTATGGAATTGAAGCTAGGATGGAACATTATGCTTGCATGGTGAGCCTTCTTGGGCGTGCGGGAAAGCTTGAAGAAGCTTATTCTTTGATGAATGAGATGCCATTTGAGCCAGATGCATGTGTTTGGGGTGCTTTATTAAGTTCCTGTCGGGTTCACCATAACATGCAACTGGGAGAAGTTGCTGCAAATAGATTGTTTGCTCTGGAACCAAAGAACCCTGGGAATTATATTCTCCTATCAAATATTTATGCTGCCAGAGGAAAATGGACTGAAATGGATAAAGTCAGGGATATGATGAAGCGTGCAGGATTGAAGAAAAATCCAGGATGTAGCTGGATTGAGGTCAAAAACAGGGTGCATATGCTTTTAGCAGGAGACAAATCACATCCTCAAATGGCGCAGATTTTAGAAAAGCTGAATAAGTTGAGCATGGAAATGAAGAAATCGGGTTATCTGCCTGATACTGATTTTGTGTTGCAAGATGTGGAAGAACAGGAGAAGGAGCATATCTTATGTGGCCACAGTGAGAAGTTAGCTGTAGTTTTTGGGATATTGAACACCAGTCCAGGGACTGCTCTAACAGTGATGAAGAACCTCAGAATTTGTGGGGACTGCCATACTGCAATTAAATTCATTTCCCGCATTGAAAGGAGAGAAATTTTAGTCAGAGACACAAACCGATTTCATCACTTCAAAGATGGTGTCTGTTCATGCGGGGACTTGTGGTGATTCAGATTCAGGCTTATACAAAAGTTTGTCATATTGGTGCTGCAGGAAATTACCCCGGAGATCTGGAGCTTGGAATCGGCGAAACTCACTGCAGAATCCTGACAATTGAAGCTTTTACCTGTTGTAAGCTTACATTTAGACTTCCACTCAATAAATCCTTGTTGGTTTTCTGTTCGCCTTATTCTTTTGCCTAAGCATGTTCCTGTTTTAATAAGTGGGTGAATAGTTTCTAGTTTCTGGAATTGTCATAGCAATTATCCATTGTCCAAATCTTCTATTGAAATTCAGACTTCTGCATTAATCTGCTTTCATCACTAGCTTATTTTTCCTATTGTTGTCATATTTTCTGTGACAGACGTTCAAGCTGAAGAGCAAATTATAATCTGAAAAAATGCTGGCTGTCAATAAGAGTGTCAAAAGATATCTTATCTGTTACTTCAGGTATCTTCTGCCTCAGAGACTCAGAGAAGCTCCAAGATTCCTGTTTTGAGTATGCAAGTCAAGAAATATGAGGTCATCATTGTTAAATGTAACAAGGATGACACTGTTTATTCTTGTAATGGCCATTGAATCACTGTTGTCTGGTGGAAAGAAATTATTTTAGTGAAATACTCTTTTGTATTAGACATGCCTGAATAGTATCAAGTAACAAAATGCATACTTCAGGCCGGTGGATTGACTGCTGGACATTTCATACTGATAGGAAGCTTCACAGCTGGAGGGTTTAAATTTTTCTTTGTACAGTGGAATTCAATTCCTAAGTAGCAGCAGCATGCCATTTCAACAGGGCACACGGTAGAAATCTGGCACCAGAAAATAATCCAAAAAGGAGGGTATGCTGACATGACTGATGATTATGGAGTATATGTTAGGTCTTACGGAAGATCAATTTTAAGGGCTTGCTTTGAAGCTAATGGACCTTTTTGCCACTGAGTATGCATTTATATCTGCAAGCTGATACACTTGGAGAGCATGATGGTAAGCAGGTGTGCCTTAGAGTAGCAAACAAACTTATCTGGCAATAGTTGGTTTGCTGCATTAAATGACAGGGTGCAAAGAATGCATCGAAGAATAAATTCTTCAAGGGTTCACGTTTAATTATGCAACTGTTATGATGCTGTTCGTGGAAATATGGTATACTGATGGGTAATGGGGCCTCCCTCCTTGGTTGTTGGACTACGAATATTTTGCAGCAATTACACAGATGAGGCCTATTACATGCAAATGCCAATTGACTTTGGTTGGTCCACCGCGCCACTTTGGAAAGTCGAGGCGTCTTTTCACAAGTAAGCCCAAAGAAAACAGGGCAGAAGTGGGTGCGTCTGATATGAAAAGTGCAAAGTTACTTGTATCGTATCATCTGGTTTTGTTTCCTTGAGAGTGCAAATTTCACTTGGATTAGCCTGCTGCTGCTATGTAAATATATTTACACTGTGTGTGGAGGCTCCTTTTTCTTTGGTTATATATATATATATATTTTGTGTATGAAGACAGACAGAGACCGGATCCCTTCTTCTCCTGACCTTCCCACCATGTGTACTAATACCATTCGTATGCGAGCAAGAGTGTAACTGGATACCAAGTACATACCAAACCGCCAAAGCAAAGTTAAGCAAAGCACCTCACGAAAAAGTGGTAATCCTATTAACGAACTCCAACACCAAACTGCAAAACCCATCCCATTATACTCTTGAAACATTCCACTCCCCAGCCTCTCAACACCAACTTTTCCTTCGGCCTTCAGTACTCTGGCTCGCTCCTCCTCTGAAAGAAATGGGTACGTGTTTGTCAAGATTGTGTTGTCCAAGATCAGTTGACATCCCAATATCCTCCCCTCCAGACTCTACTCCTCACCAGTATCGCCCCATTCCAATAATAGCCCAAGAAGAACCTGTTCAGCCGCCACCACCACCCTTTCCAAAACCACTCCCTTCATACAAGCCGCCTAGTACACATTCTGCACCATCTTCTTCCCAGATTGGACCAATACTAGGGAAGCCTTGTGTCGACATAAATGCCTTTTACGACCTCGATAAAGAACTCGGAAGGGGTCAGTTTGGAATCACATACCTTTGCACTGAGAAAGCAACTGGCTTGAAATATGCATGCAAGTCCATCTCAAGAACAAAGCTTGCGACTCCCAAAGATATAGAAGATGTTAGGAGGGAAATTTCCATAATGCAGCATCTGAGCGGACAACCTAATATCGTGGAGTTCAAGGGAGCCTACGAGGACAGGAGGAATCTGCATTTGGTGATGGAGTTATGCTTAGGTGGAGAGCTTTTCGACCGCCTTGCTGCCAAAGGAAGTTACTCTGAGAAAGAAGCTGCTAGGATTGGTCGGCAGATTGTGAATGTGGTTCATGCTTGTCATTTCATGGGGGTGATTCATAGAGACCTCAAGCCTGAGAACTTCTTGCTGGTCAATCGGGATGATGATTCTCCTTTAAAAGCAACAGATTTTGGGCTCTCTGTCTTTATTGAGGAAGGTAAAGTTTTTTTACTTCTTTTGCAAGTTAGCTTCAATTACGCTTCTTTTCCTCTGTTTGTATGATCAATTTTTGATTTTGATTGCTTTCTCGGTAATTGAAGCTAATTCGGAAGCAACCATGTGCTGCTAATAATAATCTTGTCAACGCTGATTAGTATTCAAAATCGGGGAAATTGGGGCATCACTAGACATGGTTCGTAATGGAATATGGTACTGGCGGAGTTACACTGAGTTTGTTTGGATAAGAGTTTGTTTGGATGATTTATTTGAGATATTTACTGTAGCACTTTTTATGATGTGATGTACGTGAGATAAAAAGGTGATTGAAAAAATAAAAAGGTGATTGAGATTTGTGAGAATACATTTTGCAAACCAAATTATTTTTGTCCAAACAAACTCACTCTTATTACGAGTTCCTTTCACGGGGTGTCCGTCATCGTTTAGTCGGCCATCTTCTATACGGTTTTGCTCACACCCAATGGGAAAATGAGGAAGTTTCAGCACTCAATCAGTTCAAGATTGTGACAGAAATTTTGTACCATAGAAAAAAACTTGCAGACTTTTGCACTGATCGTGACCTATAAAGGTGTTGATTTCACAGATTTTTGGATCCTATCAATTAGAGCATGTGGATGTGGGTCAGTGGATGCCACTTGTAGTCTACGTCAACTGGTCAAGTTGACCTGGTCAATAATGATAGTGACAAAGTCAACCAAGTGTTTCGTACCGCTTCCCTTGTTCCCTCGAAATCAAAAGCAAATGTGAAAATGCTGCTGTTGCAACTCTTTGGAAAATGTTTGTTATTTGCACTTCGATTTTCGACTTTCGTGCTTCCACTATTACTTTAATCGTATCATTTTTATTTATTAGGTTATATGATAAAATAAATGATAAAAGTGTAAATAACAAATAATAGAATGTAAATAACATTTTTATAATTTTTTTTCAAAGCGTAAGATAGTACTCCTTAATGATCTGTTTGTTTATATTATAAAGTGGTGAACCTGGTGGTCATTCGAATGGTCCAACACTCCAAGCCGATCGCAAAATTAAATTAAAACCTTTTTCTCCGATTTTGTTTAATGCAGAAGAATTTCAACTCTATTACGAATTAGTAGCTTGACACAAGTTCACAAATAGAAGGTGGTAAACTTAAGCTTTGGAATCACGAACTCTCCAAAAGGTTGAGACAAGATGTGTTGTATCCATGTTCATTTCAATCTTTAATCTTTTATATGCAGTGTTCTCTCTTTCAGGATGCATCTTTTGTATGCAAATACTTAAACCCGTATAGATCGGTCGTGACTAAATTTGTCTTTGTATTGCTTATTTGCATTGCCGAAGTAGTGTCCCTTATTCTTTCTTGGAACAATGTTGAATAAGTTAGAAAGTTGCGAGTTATATACCACAGATGTCTGTATCTACAAGTTAGAGGACCTTCAAATGGATACTCATTGGAGACATCCTAGTTATGCATCATAGGCTCTATCATTTTGCAGTATGGGTTGATTTTAAAGCACCATATGAGCCAGATAGCGGCCTCCAAATATATAATTCATTTTGAGTGTTTCGAGAAAGTTTCGAACAAGAACCATTAAAGTTTAATGGAAATGGTAGTTTCGATTCTTGGAAAATATTTGATGGAGTTCAAAGTGATAATTCCCACACCTTAAAGCTTATTCCTAGGTAGCCAGTGTGTTAAACTTGGATGGGAGATTAAGTCAATGTCTTGATCAGTTTCTGGTTCATTCATTGTGACTCGAATTTTAGAGATGTTGTCCAAGTGCAAATGACAAAATCAAGACTGAACAGACCATCCGGATATTCTGTTTGTGGTCTGTCTTGTTGCAGTGCTTGGATATCATTGTTTTGTTGGTCAGTATTCTTTCTCACTGAAATTGGAAATCCAGACTGACAAATTATAGAGCAGCATTGAACTCCAATTTATGCTGGATTAAAAATACCTACACATTTTGCTTATTGGTATCCTTCCTTCTTTTTGAGGAAGGGAAGGGTTAAGAATTTTGTGAAGTCTATGTATTTGCTTTATTTTAATTTGTGATTTGTTTGTTTCCATTTTCTTGATTGGAACTTTTATTGGGAGAGTGTGAATTCAGAACTTTATCAAGTGCAAGGCTGGCAGCAGATCCGTGTTTGGCTCTTTGCAAAACTTTCTGCTAAAAGTTTTGCACCACGCAACTGTTAGTTACCAATACATTTTAAGGTTTCTAAGCAGGAACTTCATTCTTAAATGATCTTCAGGAAAAGTGTACAGGGACATTGTTGGTAGTGCATATTACGTGGCCCCGGAGATACTGAAACGAAACTATGGGAAGGAGGCAGACGTCTGGAGTGCTGGAGTCATATTGTACATTCTTTTAAGTGGATTTCCTCCTTTCTCAGCTGGTAAGTGAGACTCAAACAGGCAGAAGAGACCAAAGTTGCTATCTTTTTTTCATTCCAGTTTTTCCTACAAGAGAATGTCAACTTATTTCGTCTCATTCTCTTACGCTGCAATGAAGAATGAATTAAATTCTAGCACCTGGAATTAATTTTTGCTTTTAGCCTTTAAGTTGCTATACTGAGTGATATTGACTTGTGCTTCAGAGAACGACAAAGCCATTTTTAATGAAATCCTAGTGGGGCGCCTTGATTTCCAAAGCTCTCCCTGGCCTTCAATATCGTCTGGTGCAAAGGATCTTGTTAGGAAAATGTTAACAATGGATCCTCGGAAAAGGATCACGGCTGCCGGAGCCCTTGGTAAATAGTAAAATCTTTTGACCTTCAATATTATTATTTTCTGTCCTTCTCAAGTCATTTGGCTCTGAGTGTTTACCTGTTGCTGTACAGAAACTTTTATATATTGTACAGAGAGTAAATAGCATATGGAGTATAACACTCCATGTAGTGGTTAACAGTGTCTATATTGCGCAGATCTTGGAAAGAAAATAGTATATAATGTTTCCATCCTCCAAATAATTGCATAGCTATAATTCCGATCATCATCTAAATTTGGCTAAACATATATGAACCAGAACATCCATGGCTCAAGGAAGGTGGTGAAGCATCAGATACGCCAATTGACAGTGTTGTGCAAATAAGGATGAAGCAATTTAGAGCAATGAACAAGCTGAAAAAGCTGGCTTTAAAGGTAATGAATCGATATGTAAATTTCTTTAGGGTGAATGCTTGTTAAACAGATCTGCAATTTCTGTTTAATTGTATGCAACCGAGTGAGTTAATCTTAATCCCTGAAACAGCAAGATGCTTGTTATATGATTTAAACCATGTTGAACTAAATATTTTGTGTCCTGCTGGACAGCGCGGTTTCCATAATGAACTAGTGAATATATTTGACAGTCATTCATAAGAGTACTTTCCTTTCTACAGTTGCTTTATGATTCCTCTTTCTAGAGTTATTGATAGCTGAAACATGAAATTACTGGAAGGTTATTGCAGAAAACCTTTCAGAAGAAGAAATCAAGGGGTTGAGACAAATGTTCAACAACATGGACACGGATAGAAGCGGTACCATTACTTATGAAGAGCTCAAAACTGGGTTATCTAGGTTGGGATCCAAGCTTTCAGAAGAAGAAATACAAGAATTGATGGAAGCTGTAAGCAACCCGCGACTATAGAGGTTCCTTGTGTTAACTCACACATGGGAACCAAAGACTAATTTGCCATTTACTAAAATAAATAAATATGAATGTTGACTTGAACTCCAAGTGAATCTTTCACTAAACATAAATTCTTTGTTCCAGGCTGATGTTGACAAGAACGGGACGATAGACTACATTGAGTTCATTACTGCTACCATGCATCGTCATAGACTGGAGAAAGAAGACCATCTATTCAAGGCTTTTCAGCACTTCGACGAGGACGGTAGTGGGTATGCATCTTAATTTTCCCTTGATTTGTTCAATGCATTAGAAATTATATCTATCCAGGAGGACAAATATTGTATTGTAGTTGAGGAGATTCCCTGCCCATTTTTGTTCTCGTCATCGTGTTTCTTGGTATTCCTGAATTTGAGCTTTCTTAAGCCTGCCTTTGCGTTTGGTAAATGGAGAAGGGCATTAGCACAAGTTTGTTGGTGATCTTCCTGCAGATTTATCACAAGGGATGAACTCAGACATGCTATGGCCAAGTACGGAATGGGAGATGAAGCAACTATTGATGAAATCATTAATGATGTAGATATTGATAAAGTAAGTAGAAACATTAATGTCAAAACTTTTCCAAGTTCCAACCTCGATAATTTTGTTATGATGATATCTAATCATGCAGGACGGAAGAATTAACTACGAGGAGTTCGTAACCATGATGAGAAAGGGAACTACAGATGATCATAAACAAGAAATCAGCTAAGGACCTTCTCAGGAATAAGGAAGTCTTTCGTTCTTTCATCTCCAGCAAGCTAAGCAGCTTATCCTGAGTCCTACATGCGCCCGCCGATTCATATGTTTTCATGTTCTCTCTCTCTCTCTCTTGATGTGAATACGTGAATCTTTTTGTCTGCAGTGCATTGTAAAAGATAAACATGATGATGATTTAGTAGTTTTCTTGAGAATAAATTTGCTGATATCAGTTCGATCGTAACTTCGAAACTATAATATGATATCACCGCTGTTAACACCTCAGGTAGTGGTTTCGAGTCGCATCGCAGAAATCTAAACAAAACCAATAGTAACACTTTTACCACTTGAGTTAAGTTTTATTCGTTGTGCAAAACGGTCCAAATGCGTATATTGATGATATTTTTCAGGCTGTAATTAGAGGCCTTCCTTCAGGTATTATTAATGTTCTCATAAATAAATTAAAACGAGAAAATATGGTCCAATCACAAGGGGATAATTAAAGGCTTTTTAACTGCCCAAACACAAAGAGCAAATTGTGTCTCCTAAACTAAGTGCTCAGTGGTAGTACTAACTCCACTTCATTATTCATAAAATTGAAATTATTGAATGGTATGGAATATATTGGGATATTTAAAAGCGTGGCGCATTTCAATACGACAAAAATAACGCCTTTAAGCACCCATAATAACTTGGGCAATTTCCGCCTCCTGGCTCCAGCCCTTTTAGCTCCCGTCTTCTCCAGAGCTACCCTCCTCGAGAAATGGGGTCCTTGTCACTCAATACCATCTCCTGGACCTCACTTCCCTCCACCAAAGCCTTGAAAAATATTATCCCTAAACCCTTGTCGGTGATTTCGCTTTCAAGACTCGTCAATGTCAAGGCTTGTACCACTTCTGCCGGGGGAAACCCACAACCCATGTCTGACCGGCGAACTATCAATTTCTCCGGTGCCAAACTCCAAGAAACCGTTGATGTCAAGTCGGAAAAGCTGAGGCTGGATTCTTGGGTTTCTTCACGCATTCATGGCATCAGCAGAGCCCGAGTTCAGTCCAGCATTCGCTCAGGTCTCGTCTCCGTTAACGGCCGCATCATTAATAAGGTTACTTATTTTTTTTAAAAAAAAAAAAAATTGGGTTTAATCAAATTTTGAGAACAAATTTTGGAGACCCTTGAGAAAAGCTGTTAACTTTTGATTGAAATGGTGGTTGGATCGTAAATTGATCAATGGTATGCAGGTTTCTCATATGGTGAGAGGCGGGGATAAGGTTAATTGTACAATATCGGAGCTGCAGCAGCTAAGGGCTGAGCCAGAAGATATACCACTGGATATAGTTTATGAAGATGATCACTTACTTGTGGTCAACAAGCCTGCTCATATGGTGAGGTTTCGGTCCCTTTTTATTTTTTGTGAGACAAGTTCTTATCTGAGTAAGAGGTTCGTATAATTGTCTCATTTTTTGCAATTCATAAATCATATCAGTGCTGGATATTTTGGAGTTGGTTTTTGGGTGGACGTTTGTTAATGGTCTGATGTTGTTTGTTGTCCTTTGTGTAAATGTAGCAACCGTGCTGTGACATGCCTATTGTCATGCTATTTCTTTTAAGTGATAATCTGATAATTTGCCTGACTAGAATTTCACTTTTAGGCCTTTCAGCAGCTCTTCAATATTGATGCTAACTTCCATTATTGTTGCACTTCCTTTTGCTCATTTATTGAAAGAAATTACTTCAACCCATTGAACTTTCTGACTCTCTGTATTTTTCTTCTGAATTGAGAAAGAATGCCTTTCCAGGTTTTGGATTTGGGTAAGAGATTCACAGGAAGGAAGTGAACCACTTTTAACATTTTGGGTTTTTACTAGATTATTCACCATATGCGCTTATGATGCTATGCATGATACTAAATGAAATCATGTTTCTTTCTGCTTGTCAATGGTTTTGGCTGATCTGCACTATAATATATTGCTTAATTATACAGGTGGTTCATCCAGCACCTGGGAATACTTCTGGAACGCTTGTGAATGGCATTCTTCATCATTGTAGTCTTCCTATGCTTTCACTTGCAAGTGAGGAAGTACATCTTGAGCCAGAGGATGCTTCTGATGATGAGTTTATTGCCTTTCCTAGAGCACCAAAAGATAATGGAGGTGCCTCTTCCCGTACATCTGAGGCATCTATTCGCCCAGGAATTGTGCATAGATTAGACAAAGGAACTAGTGGGTTACTTGTTGTTGCAAAGGTGATTCCTGCTAAAAGTGTCAAGAAGCATTAAATCAAGGCTAAATCATCACAATTTTGCTTAATATTTTTGTATTACGCCATTTCTTCTGTTTCTAATGTTAATTACTTTTGCAATTTGCAGGATGAACATTCTCATTCACATCTGGCAGAACAATTTAAGAACCGTACAATAAAAAGAGTCTATGTGAGTCTTACTTGTGGAGTTCCATCACCAGTATCAGGACGTGTTGACATACCTGTTGGCCGTGATTCAAATAATCGAATTCGTATGGCTGTTTTCGATGGATCTACTCATAGTCAAAAGACTCGCAATGCTGCTAGTAGGTGATATGAGGTCTTCACTGACTTTTTCTGTGTTTTGGCTGTGAATGATACTTTCCAATCCTTCCTTGTGGGAAAAGACAAGCACCCAAAAACAAAAAAAAAAAGGAGTCTGTTTGATTTACTGTCATTTTCTTGCCGGCACAAGTAACCTTTTTAACTCAAAGCTGTGCTTATTAAATTTAATGTTTACCAGGTATAGTGTAGTTGAAGTGCTTGCTGGCGGTGGTTCTGCTTTGGTTGAATGGAAACTAGAAACTGGGCGCACTCATCAGGTAAGTTGATCTTCTTGAGGCCAGAGCCAAATACTTGTATTTTTGTTGGACTGCATTGCATTTATCAAGTGAAAAGTCTTAGTGAACCATCATCTCTCGAAATATGTATACTTCAGACCTTTATCTGTGCCTCTTTGACACATCTGTTTGAGCTATAAGTTGCGTCCTATTTCTGGAAATTAATATTGTGCTCTGGAGGTTTCAAATATTTTGAACTGATTATTTCTCCAAACAGCATGTTGGTGAAATTGAGAAATCTAAGCCTTATAATAAGGGGAGTTTCCTAAGTGGACAAATCAAAGGCATAGGTTAAAAGATTGAAATGCTTATGGTGGAAGAAAACCTGTATGAAGAAAATATTCAACTCTAATTTGAGGCTAGTAATATGAAACAAGACTACTACAGGATATAAAGAATTCCTTTTGAGAGCTTCTGCACAAGCTTTTATAAATTTTTCTGTGTCTTTCACATTGAGGATATAAAGACTTCTTTTGAGAGCTTGTGCACAAATCATAGATAAGGGTGCATGCAAAGTATATGGGAGTTCCTCTGTTGGGAGATGAGCTTTATGGTGGAACCAAGGGAATGGCCCTCTCATTGCTTCAGCCTAGGACCCCATCCAGCTTTCGTGAGAATCTTCAGCAGTTGATTTGTAAACTAGAAAGACCTTGTCTTCATGCTTTATCTCTGGGGTAATAATTATTACTGGTACATTCAACTTGCAGTTTATTGGTATTATAGTGGATGGATATTTATTATTTTATCCTCTTTTTTTTTTTCCTATTTCTTTTGTAGATTTACACACCCATACACTCTAGAGAACATGCATTTTTCTCAGATGCCACCTGCAGATTTTGCTGAAATATTAACCCAGCTTCGTGACATTAGGGCAGAGAAGGTAAGACATGCAATAAAGTATGATAGGTGTCTTGAGTAGATAGCAAATGATGATATGTTGGCTTTTAATGCCTGATTGCAACTTGACTCCTGTACAAGGATAAGTGCCATTTTAGTAGAACATCGTGATGCTGCATATGTAGAGCCTGCCAGCCTGGCGTCTCAGTACTGTTGCTCAGCAAACCTGAGTTAGGAACTGCTACTTTGTGGTTCATCTGATTTTCTTTATCTAGTATTTGATTAGCTACATTGAATTGATCACCAGGTTAGCAGGCAGGTCCACCGCTAAGAAGACACGATTGTAATGGCTCATTAAGTTCATGTTGATAGCAAAGCATCAGAGAGGAGTCGGGGAAACCATTCTCTTGGCTTTATTTGCTTCCTCAAGGTCGTGTACCATCTTGCCATCGCTGGCTTCTTCTTCATGAATCCGCCGGTCCTTTGAATGGGTTCAGGGTACCGGAAACCAGACTTTTTCTATGCTGATGGAAGCATGGACTTGTGGTTGTGGAGGCATGAGGTCTTGAATTGGGCCTTCCCTACTCCCTAGACGACTTTGCTGATGCTGATGGGAGCATCTTTCTCATGCTGATCTCTATCGATTCGAGCTATGCGTCTGAATTGAAATTCTTTGAAGAGTAACAGCGTGATATTTGAAGCCTGTAGAGTAGCATGATGGTCTCTAAAACTAAATAGTTGCCAAATAAATCAACAGCATGCCCCCATTTGAGCAGTAAATTAAGCACAAAACCAACAAATCAAGTCTGCACGCACAAAATTTAGAAATATTATCTTGTAAACTTCATCACAAGATAAAATTTCTTTATCCACACAATCAAAATGTCTTTCATTATATACAAGAATACAGCAGTTGTAATGCAGGCAGTCCACGACTGGCAACAAATGAAAATTGAATATAAAAAACCTGAGGCCTATATGTATCGGAAGAAAATATGAACATAGATATTGATCGTGTCCCTTGTGTCATGAAAATTTAAGCAGTTCAGAAAGAGAAATGCAGCCATGCGTCCAGAAATTGCATGTCAAAATCATATATCTCAAAGCCCAAGGGCTTGAACTCACTAAAGAAAATGATTACAGATAAGACATCTTTCATATTTTACCGAAACCAGCTCTGCAAAATAATTTACCATTTGGCTGGCAATGACAACTCACAGAAAGTACCAAATACTGGATTTGACTACTAAGTGCCCAAGAGTTACCTTATAAAAAATACATCTAGACTTTATATTCCTCAACATGCATCCACTTCGTAGATGACCACTTGTTACCTCTAATCACAGGGCAACCACCTGCATTAAAGTGAGAAAAGAAATCAAATCCTAATTACTTCCTCGTGTGAAGGAATCTGGATATTAAATTAACAAGACAGTCTTTGAAAAATCAACATGATATCAACTGATACAACCACAAAGTGGATATTTGCATCAGTCTTTAATATGAGAATTTTATCCAATTTTACCACGTGGCTTTCAGCTTTTTTTGGCTGTCTCTTATCTGGTTATACCTTCTTTCTTTGTGCAGCCATGGAAGAGGTTGGGAAAGAAGTGGGGATAGGGGGTGAGTGGAAAATCTGCTTGAGGGAGGAACTTTACCATGCAAACTTGATGGATCCAAAGTGGCATCTGGTCTCATACTCCAGAAAAGCAAAGCATCACCCATTTTCGGTTCACAGAAAGTCCCCTTTTTGCACATTCTGACATCTCATTCCACCCTGGAGCAGTGCTAAAATTCCCTGTTGAAGCAGGAAAAACTGTCTCTCCACCTTCTTCGACATCTGATCTGCACGTCACAGAAAAGAAAAACCCAAAACTTTATCAGGTAGTGAATAGAATTTCACAAGGAACTAATCTTAATGCAAGTTAGCACAATGTTTTAACAGCTATGCTGGGATCCAATTTGTAGACAAAAGATATACAACTCACAGATACATCAAAAGTGTAGCTATACGTTGGCCGCCATTTTTTGTGTTGTATTTGTCAAGGAAGTAATCATAGTGAGGTTCATACTTTTGCCCAACTTCATAGTGAAGAACTTGAAGGCCTTCTCCATGGTCTGTAACAGTCTCAGTTTAGTCAGAAAGCACCCAAAAAAAAAAAAAATTCTAGGAGAGTACAACGTCAAACGAACCATATCAGCTGAGAGATAACAAGCAAAATATTCAAATCTATAAGGGTACCTCATATTTTTCTACAACGAAGGTATCATCAAACGTCAGTCAGGCGATGCCTGCACTAGTAATACATAGAATTCGATGAACACTACTCAGGGCATTAAAGACATTCCTTTCTATCAAAATGACTATTACAGTCATATTTTAGGTTTATAGCAAACCACAAACTACAACAGCATCATCATGTGTTTGGTAGATACAAGCTCAAGCAGCACGTAACTGAACAAGTTTGTCGATAAAACGAAGGTATCATCAAATGTCAGTCAGGCGATGCCTGCACTAGTAACACATAGAATTCGATGAACACTACTCAGGGCATTAAAGACATTCTTCTATCAAAATGACTATTACAGTCATATTTTAGGTTTATAGCAAACCACAAACTACAATAGCATCATCATGTGTTTGGTAGATACATAGCTCAAGCAGCACATAACTGAACAAGTTTGTCGATAAAATTATGCAGAATTCATCATCAACAATATTTTATGACATCCAATTTAATTCCATTGATGGAATTTGCACATGACAGCAAGAAAGAAACATCTAAGAAAGGGACAGTAGGATGAAAAAGAAACAATGGAAAGACCTCTGATAGAAATGACAGAGTCTGAAGAAGGATGAGATGTAATTTAAGTTTATTTTTTCAATATCATATGTCTTTTGACTAATGTGCTTCTTTTGGGAACATTGGGTCTTTACATGTGCCCAACTGGTCTATCTTAACTGCGTGAGTGGAAGCATCAGCTGTAGTCATTCACGATGTGGCATCCACAATGTCAGCATTACCTTTTAATCTATAATTAGTGCAACAGATAAGCAGTTGTCCAAATTTAACATAACATATAGGAGATAGAATTAACTCTACTATCTATCTTTTATCTCAGAACTTAATCACAAAAGCAATCTTGAAAAACTCAGCAGAACAAGAGAATAATGCAAGTTGCTTCATTTCCATTGTAACATACTACAGCCAGGTCACATGTCAGAACAACTTCTGTCAGCTAAGTGCGAGTACAAGTCAATAATTCACGTCACTTCTGTAAGATTAGGAAATTGTAATGAAGAGGAACTCATAGAACTAGAAATTTAACATTCTCTAAGAATAGCAAATCAGAGACTTTAGGTAAATACGATCTGAACATTGTGTAGTATCACAGACATGAAAATGTCATCTCCATGCTACCAGGTTATAACTTGTACAAACTTCATGCTGTGCTTATATTGAACCTCCACGTTAAATGATAATTAAATTCCAAGTATCAAAGCAAAAACTCTACGGACTTACTATCAACTAGAAAGGAGATTACAGGAGAGCACATAGATAAGAACATATTAATTAATAACAGCAGGCACTGCAGCAGTGAGGACAAGTTTTATGAATGGCTCTTTAACTGTCATACCTACAGGAATGAAGGTGTAGTCTGCTATCCTTTTCTCGATGTTTCTGATGACTTTATCCCCTCCCCTCCTCATAAACATTCCAGAACTTGTACGCACCCTGCAATAAGACATTATTACCTCCATAGTATAGGTGGATCATTAGAAAAAAGACAAAAAAATGAAGAATGAAGAGTTCAATTTTCACCTATTTAGTGAAAGCAAGAAACCATGTGGAAATGGAGCAGTACAAACCTGCTATCTTTACTCTGACCAGTTTTGCTATCCACGACTGTTGATTTAACCATGTGAGGTCTGGCAAGATCAATTAGATACTCGCATTCTTCCTTAGACTGTGAAAACGAGAAACAGAGCCAACATTTTCAAAACAATATATATAATTCATAATTTCAACACATTTTCTCTCAGATAGCACAAAATTACAACAAACATGATATTTTCTGAAATTTCATTCTGCAACGCTTTTAGATAGCTCATACCACGTTATAGATACATTTGATATTCAAAGAAAGATGAAAAAACAAAAAAATCTTTTTTTTTGGCAAGAGAAGTCTATAAATGAACCAATACTAATCTAAGTTCTCGTCTTAATGCAAAATAATGTGTAAAAGGGAAAAAGAATGAAGCAGTGGGTGAGAACTGATGTATCTCTGATGCAATTCACATAGAAACGGAAAAGGAAGGGGGAAAAAAGAAATATTACCAAGAAATTGTGATAAATAAAAGCCCTAGGCTCCCAAGAGAGCACCTCCGTCCATTGTTCGCCTCTTTTCCCCAAGCCTTCTCCCTCACCGCTGCATATTTTATTTATTTTTTGGAGGAAAAGAAAAGGAGAGGGAAAATAACAACATAAATGCAGTAGGAATAGAACAAAAAAGTTTCATTTTTGCTAAAGGAAACGAGCAAAAGAAAAGGAGAGAAGCAAAGTCTAACATGTCGAGAGCGACGCGCTTGAACTTGATGCGGTCATAGACAGGGTAGGGTCCATCGTCGGAGCCGAGAGGGAGAGAAAAAATGCCGAGAGCCAGAAGCATTAATAGCACGATTGTTAACATTAGAAGCATCGAAAGAACCAACGCCACCGTCGACGTCCGTTTCCCTGGATGCTGCTGCCGACTAAATCTTCCTTTCGCCATTGTCGTCAATAAACCCTCCGATTTTCAGAAGGAAGCCAAAAGGGTTAGGGAATGCAATTCTGCTGGCTCGACTGTACAGTTTTGGATTGGTTTAGCCTAACCGATCACGGGAAGAAAATTTCGTAAAATCTTTAGATAATGTTTCTGATGACCATACGGGAAGAAAATTTAGGAGGGAAGTAATATACGGGGACGACGACTGATCCACGGTTTACAACAGTTTGCTGCCAGAATTCAAATGGCAGATGGGTTTTACGTGGACCTTTGGAGTAACAGTCCTACAATAATATTGTATTCAATGCCAGAAGAGGTGGAAAGTGGGAAGAGAAGAAAGGCAGCCAAATTGTGACTTCTGCCAAGAAGACGAGAATGTCCATTGAATTCGTAGATTTTACGAGGTTCATGTATTAAAATGCCGTCACTTTCTGCAACTTTTCTGCTGTTGTATTACCCCGGCTCGCAAAATTTCCCCACTCCTATACTCCTGTAACTCCTGCTGTGGGCAACACCGGCCCCCGGTTTGGGATGGAAGACTGCTGAAATTTGACTTTAGAAATCGAATCAGCGCAAATAAACAGTGACTTGCTTACTGCTTTAGGCTTAGTTTGGGTGTCTAGGGTAGAAAAGAAAGAAGGAAAAACTTAATATTATTGTTATTGTAGTTTCAAAAATTATGGAATGATTTTGAATATAAATCATTAAATATTTATTTAAGATCATTTTAGGACAAAATAAGCATTTTCTAAAAATTTGACAAGCTTCTCAAAGTTTCTTTCCATTTTCATCCAATTTCGAAAAAATTTTGGCTGCTGTTTATTCTCCTAAATCCCTATTTCTTTTCTTTTCTTTTTTATTAAAACTAACAAACAAATTTCTTTTCTCCAAATTCTCAACTCCCAAACGAAGCCTTAATCTCGAGGAAACTTATGACCATTTTTGGTGGCCCTCAAACTTTAAAAAAGTCCCGCTAGCTTCAGCTGAAGGACCTCAATCATACAAACTTCACACGAACAGAAATCAGGAAGAGGGAGTTTCTGAAAACTGCTAGCAGTGCATCCAACTAATTGGCATTCTGTAACTGTCACTATGTGCAGAAAATAGAAGGACCCCAAAAAAAAAAAAAAAAAAAGACAAGGATCCGGCATTTGTTCCTATGTATCAAACATATTCTCTGTACATGAACTATGGAGAGCGCATAATTTGCCCTTCCTTTTTCTCTTCTTCTGGTGTCAAAACTGCATCGTTGCTGCAGGCTGTTGCTTCTTTGCTGATCTGCTGAAACCAGAATATTAACATAAATCTGCATTTGCAAATCAAGATCCCGAAGTTACTTTTTCAGTACCACAACATCCTAAGTCGAAACTACTTCGATATTTTAAACGCAACCCGTGGGAGGGGAAAAGGCTAGTTTTTCACCTAAAAAAAGAGCCTGGCACGCCCGGTTTACTCAATTACAAGATTGGTTACCGGAGGAACATTACAATAGTATTGTTCTGAGTGAAGAGGGGTGACAGGGATGGAAGAAGAGGACTAACACAACGCTTACAGAAAGGAGCTGATAGACGTCCAAGCTCAAAATTGAGATGAGAAGGGGTTAGAATATTGAATGCATAAACAAAAAAAAAGAGCACTCATCAACTTTATAGTATGGTAGATGTGCAACTCCTTGCTCTCTGATTAGGTCATTGCTCATCCGTTGTCACCCTTGACGTCATCGAATTCTTAGCAGCCAATCACCGCAACCTTCAAAAGGGTTTTTCTTTAAGTCTGGTGTAGACATAGCTTTTGTTACCATTGCAATGCCAATCACGGTGGTCAACCTGATACAAACAGAATAAGGTACTTGCCTCAGGGAAAGCATTATATCAGAGGACAGCTACAGATTCACATATGAGACATGCTAAACATGAATACAACCATGCATGCATGACTTAAGTTACCTTATACACCCGACAATTTACACTATGCAGCAGTACCATCTAGAAAGAGATTTAGCATTTGAACTCTGTTCACCATGTATAAGATGTACATCATACACAAAGTTTTTGGCTCTCGACAGGAGATCATGTCATTGAAAATTCTTTACATTGCTACAGGAAGCAAGTCTAAAATCTAAGACAAAGTGAAATAAGAAGCTTCAGATTGTCCCGAACTGAAACGGCAGCCCACTCTGTATATTGTTACAGTCAACTCATGAAAACACTAGCAATCACATTCTAGGCTCTCATTCGCTATTGTCAAACATGAGGACCAGAAGAATCAGAGTTCCTACGTCTCTTGCCCTCATTGTCGGGTTACAAATTCCATCTTGTACAACAAAGAGCCTCAACAGCTAATCAATAATATATTTTGTGGCCAAATCATCACTTTATTCATGAATTCCAAAAATTCACGAGGTCATCGTCCACTCTTTCAGGCAGCTGAAAATGTGCATATCAACCTCACATGTTATTATGATACCAGGATTCAAACTTTACGCTCTTAATACAGCAAAATCTTAAATTGTATTTGAACCACCAAGCCACTGACTGGATATAAAACAAACCAGAAAATAATAACTTAGAAGATGAAATTGATTTGCGATTCCTCTGTTGGTATGCTTAGAAGGAAGGGACAGAACCAAAGCCGAGACCTATTGCCTGTACAACAGATATGACTGAATGATATATGCTTCTCCCGCATATCTCACAGCTCAGCTTCAACAGAACTATATTCCTTGAATCTAGGCATAATATCATAGTCATTAACGACCTCTGTATATCAATCACTTGCACTTCACACAACAACGGATGATATTTCCTATAAAGATCCATGTTACCTGTGTAATTTTTAACTAAAACTCTTCCTCTTTGAAATATACCTAAAGAGCTCAATTGAAAACAGAGTACAGTGCTGAAAATTAGCAATTCAGAGTAATCAGCATACCAGACAAAGCTCACATTGCAAGCAAAGTTGTGACAACTGATTGGCCATATGCAGAAATGAACTGACTATTTCAGAGAAGAAAATTCAGAACCAAGTATATCTATGATAATTGGGTCTTTCAGGTGAACCATTTCTTATCTCCGGAAAGAGCTTAAAAAACAAATACACAAGTCATATCAAAATCCCAATTTTTTTAGGGCTTATACGAGTGCCTACAATAATAAAATATAAACAAGAAGATTGAAATTAACATCTCCGTCAATTGAATTAAAAAAAAAAATTGAGTATTTATTGAAAATTGAACAATGCCTTTACCCAAAGTCATCGAGGACGAGTAGAATCGTTTCGCTCCTTTTCAATCTGCTGCTTCTGTTTCTCCACAAGCTTATCTAGCGCGGCTTGGACGGCATCACGACCACCAATTAGTAACCGGGTGATAATTTCCGGATCTTTTTCGAAACGGGCCTCCTCGAACTCTTTCCGGGCATTCTCTCTAAGAACATCCCGCCAGAGAACGCCCCGGGAGTCCGGCCACATAAAGAAACGGCTGGCCCGGATGATGTCTCGGTAGAGACTCAGCGCCTCGCGACGGGTGCTGGTGAGTCGTTGGCGAGTCAAGAGCTCGTTTTCGTCATCATCCAAGCTCTTTCTTTCTTCACCACGTGTCTGTCCAATAGCTCCTCCACCGTGTCTGGGCCATGGTGCAATAAACGGAGATGGCTATTGGGCTGGTGAGAACGGAGATGGGTTAGGAGGAGCGCTCGATAAGCGTGAAGCTTGCTTGACATTTTTTTGGGAATTTTTTGCAGGCGTGATATCAGTCTTTTGATTTCACCATGAGAGAGCCGTCAAGCTTTTACAACAATTTTCATGTCCCTCTTGGGCAGGGGTGCAAATGAGCGAGAGTCAAGTTGTGGATCTTGAGTTTAAATTTTAAAAAAAATAAAAATATAATTATTTTATATTTTAAAAATAAATAAATATAATAATTTTTTAACAAATAATAAAATAATAAAATATATATATAATTTTACTATTAAAATAAAAATATATAATCAAATCGACTTGCGAGCTAAGGAACTAAATACTTTTAAACTTAAGTTCAAAATCGAATTTGATTTAATCAATTCGAATTTGACTCGGTTTCGATGTTAAACGAACTCGAGTTATTCACGATCGACTCGCGAATGATTCGATTCGTTTAGAGCTCTAATAAACATAATATTAGTATCTGAATTTTCTTACATTAAATTAGTACTAAATTTTGTTTCATTTGGGTATATACGCAGTAATATATAATACTGAGTGTGTTTGGATTGTAAGTTATTTGAGATATTTTTACTGTAGCACTTTTTGTGATGTGATGTATGTGAGATAAAAAGGTAATTGGGAAGATAAAAAGGTGTATTGGAAATTGTAATGGTGATGTAAGTAAATATATTTGGCCAAATAACTCACAATCCAAACACACTCACTGATTTAAACTGACAAATATTTGAGGTTGATTAAATATATTGAGCTTGATTTTACTAAGTTTATATAGCTTGTTTGAATTTTAGCTTGATTAAATGACCTTTTCTTTTTTTATCAAAATCTAAGTGCAATTCAAGCATGAAAAATCTTCCAGTCTTAGCATAAAGATTCGTTTTCTATCTACTATTATAGAGTCGAGTAAATAATAATACTAATAATAAACTATAAAAAGAGAAGTATCATTTTGGGTTGTTGACCAACCAATTAGCAAAAGAGCTTATACAATTATACTAATTTTGAGCTAGTTTTGAATATAGGATAGGCTAGGTTCCAATTTCAGCCCTGAAAACGCCAAATACATTCAGTATTGTTTCAAAACATAGAAGTTTTTTTTTTCCTTGATATTTTGTCGAGTCCACAGTTTATGAAAAGAAAGCTTTCAATTTCCAAAATAAAAAAAAAATCGAGATCTTTTGGATCGTCAAATTTCCGATGATAAGCAGTAGAATGTGGCGGGATTGCATGTTTCCTTCTTATAGTCGTCAGCATTTTGTTATCTTTTGGAATGCATTCAAGCCTCTGAACATCAATGGATGTTGGACACACATGTGTGGTGTTGGTGTTGGTGTTGGTGTTGGTGTTGGGTTACCCGTTACCATCTCCCACTAACTGATAATAAAATGATTGAAATAAGAGGGCGGGCTATAAGAACAGGAGAGTTGCTGAATTTTCTTTTTCAAATGTTACAAACCCTAGTGGCAGAAATGGGATCTGGATTTACCATTAGACACCCGGAGTCACAACCACCAAGATTGTTCGAAGTATGATATCCAGCATCAAAGAATTAGTTCAACAGCCAGCATTCAAGGAATTGGTCAGAGACCTAACATGTCATTACATATTGACTTCGATAATTTCTGCCAAAACCATTTAGGCCTTGACATCCAGCATCAAGAAATGAAAGGGGCCGACAATCTGCAAAAGCTTTTCTAAAATGGCTTTCATCTGAGGAGGAGGAGGAGGAGCATACCTATCAATTGTGACTTATCTGTCTGTCTAAAGGATGTGGCAGGAAGGAGAAGATGATGAGCCTTCAAGATAACGGTGACAATTCCCCATAGAACACATCAGGAAAGTACAATACATTAGCCACGACGACCTTGCATATCGAGCGTCTCATCCAGTCCTTTCAATCTTTGTAATCCATCGCTAATCAAAAACCGAATTTTCTGCTTGTCATTGCAATTCCTGTTGGTTTCCAGCTCTTGTCTAATGATATCCCTCAATTCAGCTGCAACCAACAAGGAGGAGACAATGCCAAATTGCCATGAGTCCCGGATCAATTAAAAACAAGAGGGTTCCTAGTCTTACAGTTTAGTATCGATGGAAAACAGAGCATGCCAACCCGAGTGAGTTTGGGTGCACAGCCCACATAATTGCATGATAGATTAAAGAAACAATAAGCAGCACAAGGAGCAGCTGGAAGGACTAGGAAAGAAAACACCATCATACAAGATTAGCTTTTATAATTGAATCAACTGTTGAACTCAAAACTCTCAGGACTTGAAAATAAATCAAAAGACGATCAACAGAATGTAATTTTTTTTTTCCCAAAAAAAAAAAACCGTTCTTTCAGCAATTGGTGCATAGTAAATGCTCACATTCTCAGAGATGGTGCTTAGAACGAGGGAAACTGGGTTATTCAGCCCAGGAAACAAATCTCCAACACCAGAAAGACCAAAATAAATAAATAAAAAAGAGAAAACTAAAAGGTTATATGAAAACCATGATAATTTTTTACAGAAGGTTCACCTCTAGAGTCAACGGGAGCTCTACGAATGGTCCTGAGAGCTTGTCGATAAAGCCTCAGCACACGAGCTCGGAGAAGGAAGTCCCGCAAATCCAGCGGCAACCCCACCGCCATCACCGAATTCCTCTCCACACTTACACCCAATTCCTTTCCGGTTAGAACTACAGTACAACCGCAAGAAGTCGATGCATCTGAACTTGATAATTGATTTTATTGCGACGTTGCAACAAATCACACTGCTTAAAGAAGCAGACGCCTGGATTATAGGGTTGGTTTCAATGTAAAAATGGGCTAACATAACACTCTTTCCCTCCAGTTTCATCTGCTCATCGGCTTCCACAATTACGCATTCTTTTGCGTGGTGCCTCGGGGGTCATGAACCATTCAATTGGACCTAGGACCCTCATCAACAATGGAACCGCAGGCCTAAACTTGGGATACGGTCATGAGTCGGGTCCAAGAGGGGAACCACAGGCCCAAACATGGAATATGGACATGGTCATGAGTCATCCATAACCTTAGTCAGGAGAGTAAAGGATCATCCACATATAATGTCAGTAATGTCAGCTGACATAAAATTCGCCTATAAACGTGTGGGGCAAAAGCGGCAGAAATATAATATGTGCCAGGGGGGGAAATTTATTCTGACTTAACATCTTGAATGAGTAGTGACAAATTTTATCAGAGCATGACTTTTCAATATTGTCTTTTCTTGTAACGAAAGAAAACTAGAAAAGTAAGGCCTCCAAAACGAATCCTTCAGCTTCCTTGGAATAGAGAACCAAGAAATGGTTGCGTAAAAGGTTTCGTACAGTCTACATTTGACAACCGAACCGCAGAAGAGGGGTGCGACTTTCCCAGCTGAAAACTTCCGGAGTACATCATAAACAAAGAGGCGTACATATGCTAAGATATGAAATTGTTCTTTGAATTTTTTTCATGTTACCGATTCTTGCTTTCTTCCGTTGAACGTAAAAGATTTTGACAGGAAAAAGACCATCTATCTATCTCTTTGTTGAATGCCTATCCTCATTCTTGCAATGGGCGCTGTCTTCTGGACCAGAGATAGCTGCCGCCTTAATTTGCAGCTGCATCCTCCCACTCCCAGCCACCTCATCCTGCTACAGTGCTGTGTGTGGCGCGGGTCTTATTCATGCCGTCTGATTTATGCTTTATGCACAGTTCACATAGGAGTACTGATTTTACTTTCCTTTGTCACAAATAGGTTTATCTCTCTTTCAAGCCGGCAAAGTTTACAATTTGCTCCTCATATGGTGTTAAATATAATCCGGCAGCAGCGTGCAATCTTGACTTTTTGTTTTGACGAGTACTACTAGCTGCCTGATACTTTTATACCGTCGCAGGATACACGCTTCCATGCGTTGCAAGTATAACCCCAGTGGGAAGTGGGAACTATATAATTAAGCAAAAAAGGTCAGCGGATGAGTTAATGCGTAAGCAACGATTAGGGACGTAGCTAGGTGTAATTTCCAGTAGCATACAGGTTGGTGGTTATTTTTATGTTTCGAGACCTTAAAATTGTAATATCGTCACTGTAAATATTTATAAAAGAATTACATCACACAGTACAAGAAAACAAAAACACTCCAAAGTACATGATGCATCATTGCATGCATGGGAATCCTCGACGATGCGCTTCGCACTCATTAATTTCTCATCAAAACCTTTTTCTTCCTTTCTTTCTTTTTTTTTTTTTTAAGATCTTCATTTTCACCTCCCACACAAATCCAAATAATTTGCTAGGAAAACAGATGATGCACTCATCATGTACCACTTTTAACGATCAACTGAAAATTTTATTAGGGAAAAATATTTTGGAAAGGCTGGAAATCCCCGTATCTTTTTACGTGATTGGCCCAAAACTTCAACGATCCTTTTTTCGCTGTATTCATGCATGCTCTTGTAATTCCTCTCGAGATTAATAGGGCCCGACAAGTCAATATAGCGTGGCTAATGGAGTTGTTTTAGTGAAGCTTGTGTCGTGCGCCGTTGTTATAACATTCATGGAAGGGTTGATTTCCACCACGGATCTTCTGTCTCACATTCTGTGCCACTATCTGTCCCACTTTTTATTATATTGCTATTTCTCCTTCATAAACATCATGTTTTAATTCTTTTTTGTTTCCTTAAGATCCACTAACTATTAATTGAGTAATACACAAAATTTAACAAACTCAAAAAATCAAAATGCATAAAAAAATGAGATTTTTTATGAATTTTCTGCTGTATTTTTTAATTTTCTATTATATATTATTTTTTTTAACTGTTATATTTATTTTTTACTGAATTAATAGTTATTAGATCTTAAGGAAACAAAAAAGAATTAAAACATGATGTTTATGAAGGAGAAATAGCAATATAATAAAAATTGGGACAGAGAGTGGCACAGGGTATGGGACAGAGGATCCGTTGCGATTAATTTCACTCTGTACTTTTTTTTACTATATCTGAATTCTCATTTTGGTCCCGAAACTTCAAGATGGGACATTTTAGTCACTAAATTATAAGATTTGTCATACTTTAGTCCTTAAAGTATAGAGTTTGTCCATCTTAGTTTCTAAAGTATAAAATGTGTCCTAATTTAATCCTTAAAATATACCCATTTAGGCATAAATCTGTCTCATTTCATGAGTGATGTTGCTTGAGTGAGACAATTTTACAGTTTAAGGACTCAAATGTCCGATTTTAAAGTTTAAGGACTAAAGTAAAAATTTGAGTATAGTTGAAGGATAAAAATGGAAATTAACTCTTTTTTGGAACTAAATAATAATTAAGTTTGATTGCATGCCGGCATGATTCGAAACAGGTAGCCATTTGTGACACTTGGTCAACAACACGAGCACATAGACTAAGTGCAAGATTTAAAAAAAAAAAAAATCTCACTTAGCATGCCATGTTATAATTGTTCCAACTGCAGTATACTTTTTTTTTTTTTTTTATCGACACAGGGGTGTTCGGATCAATCCTTACGGGGTCCGACTAATCCCCTGCGGCTCGGGCCCGGCGCCCCAACCCGACCCGAACACGTTAAGTGCGCGAGGAATCCAGCAGAGCGGAGACTCGAACTTGTGACCTCAAGGTTCACTGATGAGAGGCGCTACCGCTGGACCAGTCACGCGAGGGCTCCAACTGCAGTATACGCTCAACCCAATTTTTTTTTAAAAAAAAAAAAGAAAAGAAAAGAAAAGAAAAAGGAAAGGAAGGAAAATACATGGTCTTACTAGCAGTCAGTCGTGGACTGAGCCTGGTTTTTAAGACCTTTGAATGAAGATTTAGTTTGTGGTACGCAGGAAAATGAAATACGTATCAAAGTTACCTGTAAATTAAATGCTGGTGGGCGTTGTAGGTTTGCTAAGTCATTTGATCCCTTCCTTTGACCAAACGACTCTTATTTTTCACCAATTGAAAGGGTCTCTATTATCAATCAATGTCTTCTTGTATATCTTTGCTCTCCTGGTAAGTGATAACCCTCCATATAAATACACAGCGGAACAAAAGCACAAACATACAGAGTCAGGCTTGGATTTTGCTGATCAATCTTGCAATGGAGAAGCCTGCAATAGCCAAGTCCAAAATCAAGTTCTTGATGTTATTACCAAAAGCAGCAGCTGCAGCCGCTAAGTTACCGAGCCACCCCTTCAGTCCAGGGAAGGTAAATGCGAACAAGCTGAAATCCCACCAGAACAAAGGATTCTCCGGTCCAATTACATCAGTAGTATTGGAAGAAGCTAGAAACAAATCAAAGAATTCCACTTTTGATGCGAAAGAACCAACTTCACCAAAGATTTCATGCATGGGCCAAATCAAGCACAAGAAGAAGATTTCCTCCAAAAAGAAGAAAGCTGCTAGTATGTCCCTGCCTAAAGAAGTAGTTTACAATCCATATTCATCCTTCCATGCTTACTCGAGAAACAAGCCATCAGCAATGGAGCAGAAGAAGAAAAAGTCGGCTTCTGGGAATATCTTTAACAGGGGGAAACCGGGAAGAAAATCTGATGCTTCATACGAACAGTCTAAAAAACTTCCGATAGAGCACCTAGTCTGAGCCACATGAAGAGGTTTGCAAGTGGCCGGGATTCTTTTTCTAGTTTTGACTGGACATCGGTACAGGTTGCTCCAGAGGAGCCGGATAACAGACGGTGTTATTCAGATGAAGAGAAAAGAGATAGCAGTGAAGAAGAACAAGAAGATGAAGTTATTATTCCTTTCTCTGCACCAATCCTCTTAGGCGAAGTTGGAGCAGCTGTCTTGCCTCTGGAGCCAAGAAAAGAAATTAATCTGTGGAAAAGAAGAACCATGGCTCAACCTAAGCCCCTTCAACTAAATACCTGGTGACAGCATGTTGATGGATTTTGTTTTAGTTTCCATGCACGGTTTCCTTCCCTTTTTCCTGATATTTGATCTGTTGGTTCGTTGTTGTGAATTCCTTGTAGAGGTTTAAACATCTCCTAGAAGAATTCTGTCGTAGATTGTGAATGTAAATATATAGAATTATCGAAGAGGACATCTTGAATTACTGAAACAAAATGCTCAGTTCATCTTACATGTGTTTACGTGTGAAATGTGCATAATTCAAAATTTCTTCCACGTACGCAGGAGTACGAGCTTAGATCGGACAATCCAAAAGGGGATTAAAAAGTTTCCAAGTAACGTCATTTTAGCTTACACGAATGTGTGCAAATCGGTTTTCCACTTGCATATGCAATTATGCAAATGTCTCATTGTGAGATTATGATTACAATTCCACTCTGATGCTTTGACCAGAGTTCGAATTTGGCTATCAGGTTTGAAGGTAGGGAGGGATTAGGCGAGGGTGGGGGGGGGGGGGAGGATTTAAAAAAAAAAAAAATTCCACCCTGATTTTTCAACCAGTTGTCGTAATTTGAAGTTTCTAGACTTCCACATGTTGTTACTCTTTTTTTTTTTCCTTTTTTTTTTCAAAGACGATAAACCTATTCTATCCTACACTAAGAGGGAGGGGGGACCTAAGGAGGTCCAGGGATAATCCAGAAGGGGCTGAACCACCACCGAACCAGACGGGTGCACAGCACACTATGTGCTTGAATTTTTTAGAAACAAAACACTTAAATGTGACATTTTTTTCCACTTAGGTGGTAGCCACCGCCCAAAGGCCGGTGGTTCCACATGTTGTTACTACAGTTAGGGAGGCATTTCATCTTCTTCTTTTTTTTTTTTTATCTCTCTGTTTTTTTCCCCCCTTTTCGGTTGGCCTCCTGCATTTCATTTCATGTTGGTGCTCCATTGTTTTGTCATTCATTAGTTTTGACTTAACCAATTAGGCCAGCATCCGATTTTGGAGCTCCATTATTTCGTCATTTAATAGTTTTGACCCTAACC